CCCCCCCCCCAGCCACTCTCCAGAGGACAGTCTATATCTGGAAGGAGAGGCTGCAAAACACAAGTTTCCTTCCAGGTCTTATGAAAAAGAAAAATAAGAGTTCACATATTGAATGTAGGAGGACACAAAGATTATATACACTGAGTGGCCGGATTATTATGACCACCCCATCAGTACTTGGTTGGGCCGCCTGGTGACTCCACGAGATGGTGAAAGGTGATGCGAGGAATCTGACACGGCGCTGTCGCCCTTCTGTTGTCTTGTACCAGTCTTGCCCCTCCCCCGTTCTGCCCTAACATTGACTAGTCGCTGACGGCCACAATTCGCACGCTCAGACCCAGATTTTCGGCTGACAGTCCGGTCTTTAAACACTTTAACAATGAGCCGCTCCTGAACATGTAACGAATTCTGCTGTTTTGCTGATACTCGCTCCATGGCTCCGAGCGCCAACAATCATCCCGCGTTCCAAGGCTGTTACATCGCGTTGTTTCCCCGAATCTTCCCAATCACTTCTACTGTCGTGGTAACCAACCCGCTTCCCTATTTATAATGGTCTGGCCCTCTAGCAACTTCAGCGCCAAATTATAGCTAATTTGCCTACAAACGTCAGGTGGTCATAATAATCTGGCCACTCAGTGTATATAATAATCCGGCCACTCGGTGTATATAATAATCTGGCCACTCGGTGTATATAATAATCTGGCCACTCGGTGTATATAATAATCTGGCCACTGTATAGTGCTGAGATTACATTTTCACAGCAAAAATGATATTCTCTGTACTACAGAAATGCATGCACACAGGGGTGTCCCCGGCCTTTTTCCCACCTGAGGCCGGGGGGAAGGGGGGGAGCTTTTTCAGGTGGTGCACACAATTACATAAGCGGTACAGCGCCGCCAGACACGAGTGATGCCGCCTTCTGCAGGTTCTGCATCTCCCCACCAGCTCCTTCTTAGCAACCTGGGATGCTCTACCCGGCGTCCTGCCCAGCTCCTGGCAACTAGTGACGTCCTTGGTTACCAGGAGCTGGAAGGAACGCCGGCCAGAGCGGCCCAGGTTGCTTAGAAACGGGGCGTGGAGATGTCTTTGGCCCTCACACAACTCCTTGCCCAGCTCTTAGCACAACCTGCGACGTTCTGGCTTGCATGTTGCCCAGCTCCTGGCAACCAGTGACATCACTGGTTGCCAGGAGCTGGGCAGGACACCGGCCAGAGCATCCCAGGTTGCTAAGAGCTGGGCGTGGAGATGTGTTTGGCGCTTACACAACTCCTTGCCCAGCTCTTAGCACAACCTGTGACGTTCTAGCTGGCGTCCTGCCCAGCTCCTGGCAATCAGTGACATCACTGGTTGCCAGGAGCTGGGTGGGTCACCGGCCAGAGCAACCCAGGTTGCTAAGTGCTGGCGTTGGGAGATGTGTATGGCCCTTACAAATCTCCCCGCCCAGCTCTTAGCAACCTGGCATGCTCTGGCCGGAAAGGGGGTGGTAGGCACACTGCAAGCTTTTTGCAGCAGAGCAGCCATGCCGCCCTGCCTTCCGCCCCCTCCTTGTGACCCAAAGAGATGCCGCCTGAGGCAGCAGTTTCAGGCTACCTCATTAAAGGGGCGGCCCTGCATGCACCACACAGGAATGTACCAGAACTATTTAAACTTTGTACTAGAAAAATGCAGCAGTGTCACCGGGCCGGTTTCGTTTCAGTTTTGACATTTCCATTTCGGTGCACCTCCTAGTTTTAATCCTTCGCTACCCTATCCAAAGCTAAAAACAGAAAAAAAGTTTAGGAGTTAGATTTCATGCCTGTTATCCGGGCTGCTGGTTTTAGAATCCATAGCTTTGATCTGACGCCCTTTGTGTTCACATTGTAGCTCGAGCGCGATCTCCGTGGTAAAGATTCTCCGTGTGCTGAGAGTGCTGCGTCCACTGAGGGCCATTAACCGAGCCAAGGGGCTGAAGGTAAAGTACCATACAGCAGAGCGGTGACTGGCTGTATTCTTATTATTGTGAAGGATTTGTATTGCGCCAACAGTTTTTACAGCACTGTACAAAGTAAGGGGGAGAGACATACAGTTACAATACAAGTCAAGACACAGCGGGGGTCAGGAGGGCCTTGATCCTGAGAGCTTACAATCTAAAAGGGAGGGGTAAGTCATACAAAAGATAGTAATTGTGAGCAATGGGTTGATGGCGAATGTCAAAGTTTAGTGGTTAGGTCAGGAGCTTAACTAGAAATCACGGGGCCTCATAGCAAAATTTTGTATGGGGCCCCCCGTGATTCCTAGTTATACCCCTTGCAGAGCCCACTCGAGATCCCACCTGAGGGTGAACCTACATAGACTCTCTATGGTGGGCTCTGCAGGGTCACCCTCAGGTGGGCTGGTCGCACTCCTTACCTGTCCGCCTCCTATTCCTCCACGGTCGCTGTTGGGCTCCGCCTCCTCCTCCGTCGCCGGGCCCGCCTCCTTCTTCGTCACCGGGCCCCGCCTCCTCCCCTGCTGCCGACCACGGGCCCCGCCTCCTCCTCCTCCACTGCCGGGTCCAGCCTGCTCCACCGCCGCTGCCGGCTCTCGTTGACTCTGTGGAGAGGAAGGCGCTGCTGCACAGATTACGGTCAGCGATCTGAACAGCGGCGTGTTCGTCTTCAGCCGCCAGTGAAAGCCACCAGCAGAGGATCCCAGGCGGGCCCGCACGGCATCTGGCCGGGCCCCACCGTGCCCCGGGACCCATAGCGGCCTGCCTGGGTCGCTATGGTGATTGTTACGCCACTGGGTTAGGTAGAGGTGGGATAGGCTTCCCTGAAGAGATGAGTTTTCAGGCATCTCCTGAAGGCAGCACGTAACTAAGGAGGACGATTGGATTATTGAAATAACGAGTTACCCAATTTTAAACGTAAATTACATTCCCATGCGCGATACTGGCATCACAGCACTGTACTCGCGCATGCATGTGCCCAGCGGCACGTGCAGCGTTCCAGTCCAGTGCGATCTGCAGAAATAGTGCTCGCAGCATGTTTACAGATCGCACTGGACCGGATTGCAGCCACTAATGTGCCTGCGTTTCCGGGTGCGGGCGATCGCACTGCGGGCGGGGTGGGCGTGGCTGCGGTGCCATTGACTTCAATGCACCGCCACCCCCTCCCCGCCCCTGAACGCAGGTGTTTTTTCGTTGGTAGATCTCATTGAGCTACCTTTTGGGGATCCAGACCACCTTTTGTCAATGGCCCGGAGAATTACACTAAAGCTGAGCATACGCGCCTGGAATTTTGAGTCCTGATGACGAGCTCTGTGTGATTTGGGCTGTGTGTGGCCCTGCCGTCGCCACTCAACAAAGGTACATTTTTTAATCAACTGTTGTCAGAGGGGTCGGGCCCGGAAATTGTCAGCCAATGAGCTGCAGTCATTCGGGTATTCTGGCAGCGGTGGGTGCCACAATATTCCAGCAGGGAAGAGTCTCCTCTCCACGCTGCATGGACGGGGGAACTGAGCGTTCTTCTTATTCAACAAGTGTACGGCCAGCGTTAGAATCAGTCGTTATGAATTGCTGTCGCCTCCCTCACGGCTAATGCTTTACTGTAATGTTTTTGGGTGTCTCCTCAGCATGTGGTCCAGTGCGTGTTTGTTGCTATCCGGACGATCGGTAACATTATGATAGTCACCACTCTCCTCCAGTTCATGTTCGCCTGTATCGGGGTTCAACTTTTCAAGGTAAAGACTCTTTATCCGCCTGTATGTTGCGCACTGTATCTAATATGTCTGTGAATTGCATTGCATTCTGAATTGAGAAAGCTGGTCGGGTGACCAGCGAAACGTCTTCAAGATAAAATACAGCAGTTGCCTTGACTTATTTTTTACAGCTAAAGTGTATTAGCTGTAAAAGTGTCTAAAGTATATTTTCTTTGACGAGATACGTATGCATTGCAAAGATTTGTTATAAAACATCAGATTCTTCACTGTTAAAGGAGAACTATGAGGGGGGGGGGGGGGGGGCTTTTAACTATTCCCATTGGTTCAGCCCACCCTTGCACA